ATTGGCACAGTCTTGCTATAAGATGATATGCTACATGTATACTGAAAAAGCCTTTTAAAAAACAGCAAACAAAAGTAAATATATTGCCGTGTCTGAATTTGGTACCCAATCTGCCTCCATTTTATTCAGTATGGAGGAATGAAGAATCTTTCTTGATTGGAGTAAAACAGCAACACCCCAGAACCAGGAACTCTCAGTTTAAGCATGCTACTCACTACTGATATGACTGAAAACAAGTATTTGCTTTTGAGACTTAGTACACATCTTTCTCAATTGAGTAGTAGTAACTGCCTGGCAAGGCTTTGCCCTGCAGAACGTGAGAAAGACTAATAAGGCTTCTAGAACCTCTGAAGCACACTAATTCTGGCCAAGTATTAATATACTGTTGTTTCTTTTTTCATCCTATTACATGCTATTGTAAGCTCCCTCAAACTTTTTGTGAAAGTCGGCAAGTACAAAATAGAGTTCCAAAAAGTAGTGGCCAGGTGCGGTGGCTCACGCCTGCAATCCTAGCACTTTGGGAGGCTGAGGCGGGCAGACTGCCTGAGCTCAGGAGTTCGAAACAAGCCTGGGCAACACAGTGAAATTCCATCTCTACTAAAATACAAAAAATTAGCCAGGCGTGGCGGCATGCACCTGTAGTCCCAACTACTCGGGAGGCTGAGGCAGGAGAATTGTAGCAAATGCAATTTAAAAATAAGCTACCAAGGCTGGGCGCGGTGGCTCACACCTGTAATCCCAGCACTTTGGGAGGCCAAGGCGGGTGGATCACCTGAGGTCAAGAGTTCAAGATCAGCCTGACCAACATGGCGAGGCCCTGTCTCTACTAAAAATACAAAAATTAGCTGGGCATGGGGCAGGCGCCTGTAAGCCCAGCTACTCAGGAGGCTGAGACAGCAGAATCGCTTGAACCCAGGAGGCAGAGGTTGCAGTGAGCTGAGGTCGTGCCATTGCACTCCAGCCTGGGCAACAAGAGCAAAGCTCCGTCTAAAAAAAATAAAAATAAATAAAATAAAATAAGCTACCTAAAGTGTTATGAGAATTAAACGAGGCTGGACACAGTGGCTCACCCCTGTAATTCCAACACTTTGAGAGGCCAAGGCAGGTGGGTCACCTGAGGTCAGGAGTTTGAGATCAGCCTGACCAAGATGATAAAACCCTGTCTCTACTAAAAATAAAAAAAATTAGCTGGGCGTGGTGGTGGGCACCTGTAATCCCAGATACTCGGGAGGCCAAGGCAGGAGAATCACTTGAACCCGGAAGGCAGAGGTTACAATAAGCCAAGATGGTGCCATTGCACTCCAGCCTGGGTGACAGAGCAAGACTCTGTCTCAAAAAAAAAAAAAAAAAAAAAAAAAATGTCCAGGCACGGTGGTTCACGCCTGTAATCCCAGCACTTTGGGAGGCCGAGGTGGGTAGATCACCTGAGGTCAGGAGTTTGAGAACAGCCTGGCCAACATGGCGAAACTCTGTCTCTAGTAAAAACAGAAAAAATTAGCCGGGCGTGGTGGCAGTCGCCCGTAATCCCAGCTACTTGGGAGGCTGAGGCAGGAGAATTGCTTGAACCTAGGAGGCGGAGATTGCAGTGAGCCGAGATTGCGCCACTGCACTCCAGTCAGGGGGACAAGAGCGAGACCTCATCTCAAAAAAAAAAAAAAAAGAATTAAATGGGATGAGATACACTAAGCACTTCTGTAAACAATGACATATTATAAAATGTCTGGGACTATTAATTAGCAGTGGTTCTCAGGTGCGGTCCCAAACCAACAACAGTCAGCCTCAACTGGAACTTATTAGCAACCCAGAACTACCCTAGCCCTGCTGATCCAGGAACTCTGGGAGTGGGACCAGCACACTGCGATTTGTTAAATCAAGGGGGCTTAAGAAGCCCACCAAGAACTCAAATCCAAAAGAAAACAAAAATAGAATCCTAATGCATTAAAATCCTAACAGAAAAATGTGCAAGGTAACAGGAAATTCACAGAAGGATGCAAATGATTAAAAATACATAATCAGAGAAATACAAATTAAAACACAATGCATACTCTATCCCCACCAACAGAACAGAGCCCCCCCACCTCCAGGGTGGCACCCGTGCAGCAGGAGCATGGGCAGGCACAGCCTTTCTGAGTGGCAGTTTGGCAGCAGGTACCAAGGACTATAAAATGTTTATACTCTAACCCGTCTTAGGAATTTATCCTAAAAAAAGAAATACATGGCTGGGCACAGTGGCTCACACCTGTAATCCTAGCACTTTGGAAGGCCGAGGAGGATGGATCACCTGAGGTCAGGAGTTCTGAGACCAGCCTGGCCAACACGACGAAACACTGTATCTACCAAAAAATACAAGAAATTAGCGGGGCTTGGTGGCAGGCGCCTGTACTCCCAGCTATTCGGGAGGCTGAGGCAGGAGAACTGCTTGAACTCAAGAGGCTGACGTTGTAGTGAGCTGAGATCACTCCATTGCACTACAGCCTGGGCGACAAGAGCAAAACTCCATCTCAAAAAAAAAAAGAAAGAAAGAAAGAAAGAAAGAAAGAAAGAAATCCAGGCCAGGCGTGGTAACTTGTAGCTCACACCTATAATCCCAGCACTTTGGGAAGCCATGGCGGAGGATCCTTTGGAGCCCACGAGTTTGAGACCAGCCTGGGCAACATGGTGGGATGCCATCTCTACAATAAATAAATAAATAAATAAATAAATAAATCCAAACTCTTGAACAAAACTTATAAAGATCAGTAAAATATGAAAGGCAAAAAAAAAAAAAAGCTTAAAATTACGTGTCCTCAATACAAGAATGATGGAATAACAAGCTGAAGAGTAGAACACTGAATATGAACACAGATGCAGCTACTGTTTTTCCCAAACATCTACGCACATGGATCGGCTCTCACACCATAATGCCAGGGAACCACGAGACTGACGGAGGCCACGGCACCCCAGCACCCAGCAGTGATGTGTGTGCCCATGCACGCTGTGCACAACAAAAACCTAGTTATGCTTACTAAACTCATTTATATTAATAACATCCAGTACTGTCCAGAAACTTCCATATGTTTTAATGGGCATGTAAGTTTTTTTAAAAAACAAAAAACCAAAACGCTGGCCAAGTGCAGTGGTTCCCACCTGTAACCCTAGCACTATGGGGGTACCAAGCTTATCAGATCACTTAAGCCCAGGAGCTCGAGACCAGCCTGGGCAACATGGCAAAACGCCGTCTCTACAAAATATATACAATTTAGCTGGGCGTAGTGGTGCATGCCTGCGGTCCCAGCTACTCAGGAGGCTGAGGCAGGAGGATTGCTTGAGGCCAGGAGTCGGAGGTTGCAATGACCCATGATCGCATCACTTTTTGACCCTGTCTCAAAACACAAATTTTGTTGGAATGAACTGTCTCAATCTATTAAGAGCTAAATGCAAATATCTCTGACTAAGAAATACCTACAGTGAAATATGCAAACAATTGGCCAGGCACAGTGGCTCACGCCTGTAATCCCAGCACTTTGGGAGGCCGAGGCAGGAGGATCAGTTGAGGTCAGGAGTTTGAGACCAGCCTGGCCAACATGGTGAAACCCTATCTCTACTAAAAACACAAAAGTTAGCCAGCCATGGTGGCATGTGCCTGTAATTCCAGCTACTTAGGAGGCTGAAGCAGGAGAATCACTTGAACTCAGGAAACACAGGTTGCAGTGAGCTGAGATCACGTCACTGCACTCCAGCCTGGGTGACAGAGCCAGACTCTGTCTCAAAAAAAAAAAAAAAAGAAAAAGAAAAAGAAAATATGCAAACAATCTCAACATTCACCAACAGGAAAACAGTCAAAAAATGTCTAGAATGTCCACGAAACCCTAATGCATAGTCACGGGGCAGACCAAGCTGCTGACAAACTACAGAGCCAAAGGACATGGACTCGTTTTAAATAGTGTTGTTGTAACAGGGGGCTTACTTTCTTATTTGTGTGTTTTTCTTTATTTTATCAACTTTCAAAACTTATTTTTAAAGAAATTACTTATGCGTGTGGGTAGCTGTATCACCGAATTTCTCTTCAAGCGTCATTATGACCTGCAATCTCCTCTCCTTCCACACATCCTCCTTCTTCCTCAGGCTCCCCTCGTCCCACCCTCACAACCTCAATCCTGTCCCAAGAGGACACCCTGCCTCCAGCTCCAGCCCCCAGCTGGATCCTAGGCACTGAGCCAAAGGAACTCTCCTACCACACAACTCAGAGCCCACCACTCCCCTGGGGCATCCTTCGGCAGGGGTGAAAGAGTTAGAGGAGCACACAAGAGGCAAAGGGCAAGTTGAATCCTGGATTCCAAAAGGAAGTACAGCGTTTCAGGCCTCGGAGGGCAGGAATGACACTGCCAGGTCAAGTGGGAAGGCCATTTAGACGAAAGAAGCTGCCTGCACAGGGTCTTGTGGAAAAGGTCAAAACAGCGTTTGGCTGGTGTGAGGGATACACCGTGGGCTATTCTAAACAAGCTGAACTGAGTGGTCACAGGCACCGTCTTTTTTTTTTTTTTTTTTTTTTGAGACAGAGTCTGGCTCTGTTGCCCAGGCTGGAGTGCAGTGGCCGGATCTCAGCTCACTGCAAGCTCCGCCTCCCGGGTTCACGCCATTCTCCTGCCTCAGCCTCCCGAGTAGCTGGGAGTACAGGCGCCGCCACCTCGCCCGGCTAATGTATTTTAGTAGAGACGGGGTTTCACCGTGTTAGCCAGGATGGTCTCCATCTCCTGACCTCGTGATCCGCCCGTCTCGACCTCCCAAAGTGCTGGGATTACAGGCTTGAGCCACCACGCCCGGCCTCGGGCAGCGTCTTATTCTGATTTGGTGACACCCTTCCACAGAGCTTGCTAAATATTTTTAATTTAACCCCTATTTAAAGAGAAGTGGATATGGTTGAAAAGTAGTTTATATAGATACATAAAAATATATTTTAAGGGGCAAGATGGTTAAAAACAATCTCTCTGGGTAAAATCCAGTAGGGAAACAGAAGTGACTAGCCTGTACACCAAGGCCAGGATATTGAGCATGGTGGCCACGTCCGGGTGGTCATGTCCTGAAGTCTTCTCCAGGTCCTCCAGGGCCTGCTTGCAGAGGGGCACGGCTACCTCGTAGCGTCCCTGCGAGGCGTACTGGATCACCAGGTTGTGGAGTGTCCGCAGCCGCGCGGGGATCTCGTAGCCGCCCTGCTGGGCAGCCGCGGCGGCGCTGCTGTGCTGCTGCTGGACTGCACGGAGAAAGTTCACTTCAGACGAGTTTTTAAAGACAATTATCCAGATGAGTCAGTTTCTTTAAAATTGTCTTTACTAGCTTTGGTTCCAGTTAGTACTTGGCCCCTAGTGCTATTTAAATCTTTTCCTAGTACTGTCTGGGCAGCCAGGATTAAGAGTAGTGGCCATAGGGTCAGGGATGGCACCATGGCCCCTCAGTGCCATGAGACTCTTCTTGGCGCCATGAAACAAGCAGAATAAGTAATTCTGACCTATCTACCCCATGAGAACCTGCAGATCACACCTGAACTGCTCATGCCTGCTGCTGTATCCTAGGGTCTACTCTAACAAATTCCTGTATTCCAACATACAGCACAAATTATTTTGGAAAACCAAAGGCAACCCTGCTCTGCTGGTGTTTCCTCCAGGCAGGCCGCATGCACTAAGGCTGCCACTGATTGTTGATTGCTATGACCCTGTTCTAGGGGGAAAACACCTCTCTCCTGCACTCGGTAACATTCCCACATCACCCATCACTCACTTCCTTGCCCTGGGTCGTCTTCATCATTGGGGAAAAGGTCATCCAGAGGCTCTTTGGTAGAATCAGTGTCTTTGTCCTCCTATAAAACAGATCCAGGACAACGCTTCATCTTACAAGTACTATACACATCCTGTCCTGAAAATCTTTAATATTAAATACATTTTAATTAAGAATCTTAGAAAAGATGATCAGTTTTTAACATCAAATGTAGGATCACCCACAATCTGGCATCCATCAGTTGAACAGGAGTAATGAAAAGCTAGATAGACTAGAACACAAATACTTAAGTGCAGACCAGAGTTTGACGAAATGGGCATGGCTGCATTTCCATGCCTCAGATCCTTCTCCTGTGCTCTGAGGGAGGTCTAGGAGAGCAGGGAAAACCCTGACTCAAAATAAAATCTTATTTGGGAACCAAATATGTAGCAACAGATGAAAATGGTGCATCTCTGATCCCCAGAGAAGTGGAGGGGCTAGATGCCTCACCACCACAATTGGCTCCAGGGCAGGATCCCTGGGAGCAGTTTGAAACCTCCCAGCTTTAAAGGCCGGTGACCCATGTTTCCCCACATATTGCTGATTAGGCAAAGAAATAAAATCAGAAACTACATAATGGGAAAGACAGGTAACAGCCTGACCAGTAAGAAATTAGCTGCATCGGGCCGGGACCAGTGGCTCACGCCTGTAATCCCAGCACTTTGGGAGGCTGAGGTGGGCGGATCACAAGGTCAGGAGATAGAGACCATCCTGGCTAACACGGTGAAACTCCATCTATACTAAATAACACAAAAAAGTAGCCAGGCGCCGTGGCGGGCACCTGTAGTCCCAGCTACTCGGGAGGCTGAGGCAGAAGAGTGGCATGAACCCGGGAGGCGGAGCTTGCAGTGATCCGCGATCACGCCACTGCACTCCAGCCTGGGCGACAGAGCGAGACTCCGTCTCAAAAAAAAAAAATTAGCTTCGTCATGGGGCAGATGAACACTGTTTGGCTCCAGAACGGAAAATGTGATAAAGACACATTGCTTTTAGAATATTCCTGTCTGGGATGCATAATCCAAGTATTAGACAAACCCCAACTGAGGAATGATGGACGAAGTAACTGGCCTGCATTCTTCAAAAACATCAATGTCATGAAAGACAACCACAGACGGAGGTCCCGTTCCATGTGAAAGGCTACTCAAGAGATGTGACAATCTCATGAAGGATGTGCCCCTGAACTGGGACACAGTGAAACAATGCCATGAAGGATGCTGTTGGCAGCTAACAAAAGGGGAGTATGAGCTTCAGAGGAGAGGATATGCTGGGTCTGTGTGCAACTTCCTGAGTGCCCCTGGCCCTGGACTGCCACAGGAGAACCCCTCACCCTAGGGAAAGATGCCCAGCAGCAGTTAGCAGCCGTGGCACGTGCTATGCCACTCTGTGAACAGGGTTCAGAAGAAACAAGCACTCATAAGTACTCTGGAAAGGGTAAGGAAAGTCAGCTCACTGGATGTTTTCTCCAAGTTTAACACGTTTTCAAAATAATAAATTTTAAAAGTCTCCAATCCTACGAAACCAGCTTTCTCCTTCTCAACATCCTCCAGTGTCCCAGGTCAATCACGGTTGGCATCGACGTCTGCAAGTACTCGCATTTCCATAGCACTCCAGAGCAAGCACATCTTTTATTTATTTATCGTCCATTTGTTTGTTTTTTGAGATAGGGTCTCCCTCTGCCACCCAGGCTGGAGTACAGTGGCATGATCTTGGCACACTGCAACCTCCGCCTCCCAGGTTCAAACGATTCTCGTGCCTCAGCCTCCCAAGTAGTGGGACCACAAGTGCACACCACCACACCTGGCTGATTTTTTTGTATTTTTTAATAGAGATGAGGTTTTGCCATGTTGGCCAGGTTGGTCTTGAACTCCTGGCCTCAGGTGATCCGCCCGCTTCAGCCTCCCAAAATGTTGGGATTACACGCATGAGCCACCGCACCCGACCTTAATTTTTTTTTTTTTTTTTTTTTTTTTTTTGAGACAGAGGTTTACTCTGTCGTCTAGACTGGAGTGCAGTGGCGCGGATCTTGGCTCACTGCAACCTCCATCTCCTGGGTTCAAGCAATTCTCCTACCTCAGCCTCCTGAGTAGCTAGAGGTACAGGTTATGTGCCACCATGCCTGGCTAATTTTTGTATTTTTAGTAAAGATAGGGTTTCACAATATTGGCCAGGCTGTCCTCCAACTCCTGACCTCAGGTGATCTGCCTGCCTCGGCCTCCCTAAGGGCTGGCATGAGCCACTGCACCCAGTCACATCTTTTAAATCAAAACATTTAGTTGGCCCCTAACCTAGAGGAGACGTGAGGGAGGAATATGGTAAGCCTCTTGAAATACCATGCTGTCAACTAAACTGCATTCTCCCCAAATTCCTATGTTAAAGCCCTAACCCCCAGTGTAATGGTATTTAGAGATGAAACGCTTGGGAGGTGATTAGGATAAGAAGAGCTCGAAAGGGTGGGGCCTCACGATGGGATTAGTGCCCTTATAAAAAGAGACACCAGAGAGCTTACTCCCTCTCTCTCTGTACCACATAAGAACACAGAGATGGTGGCAGTCTGCAAGCCAGAAAGAAGGCCCTCACCAGAACCGGACCCTGCTGGTACCCTGATCTTGGATTTCCAGAGCTGTGAGAAAATAAATGTTAAGCCACCCAGCCTGTGGTATCTGTTACAGTAGCCCAAGCAGATGAAGACACAGGGGAAATGTAGGTTTGCTGGTGCTACACATAAGACTGTTTCTGTAGTCTTAGAATGGGGATTCGAACCAGAGACACAAATGTGCACCTCTCTAGTATTCTGATTATGTATGTGAACATGCCTGGCACCATATAGGTATTTAAAAAATGTTAGTTCCAAATGCAACGTGGAACACTGGACTAGGTCCTAGCACAGAAAAGAGATACTAGTGGAAGGCCTGGTGACATCCAAACCAAGCTTGTGTTTCAGTTAACAGTAAAGTATTGATGTTAATATCTTAGTTCTGACCACTGATCTACGATTATGTAAGATTAGGGGAAATTGGGTTATGGTTCTTCTCAAACTTTCCAACTTTTCAATCAATTTAAAATTATTCCATTGGAAACTTGAGAGAAGGGTAAAATTTTTAAAAATTAAAAATAAGTAAAATAAAATAATTCCAAAATTTAGAAATTTTCTTTAAAAAGAAGTTAACTGAGGCTGGGCATGGTGGCTCATGCCTGTAATCCCAGCACTTTGGGAGGCTGAGGCAGGCAGATCACAAGGTCAGGAGATCAAGACCATCCTGGCTAACACAGTGAAACCCTGTCTCTACTAAAAATACAAAAAATTAGCCAGGCGTGGTAGCACATGCCTGTAGTCCCAGCTACTTGGGAGGCTGAGGCAGGAGAATCACTTGAACCCAGGAGGCAGAGGTTGCAGTAAGCTAAGATCATGCCACTGCACTCCAGCCTGGGCGACAGAGCAAGACTCCACCTCAAAAAAAAAAAAAAAAAAAAAGAAGTTAACTGAATCAGAAATAAATGTTGAATGAAAAATAACTGAGACCAGGATAAATATCTAAATACAGCCAACAGAGAAAGAAAAAGGCTGGGCACAGTGGCTCCCACCTAGAATCCCAGCACTTGGGGAGGCTGAGGTGGGAAGATCACTTGAGGCCAGGAGTTCAAGACCAGCTTGGCCAAAATAGCGAAACCCCATCTCTACTTAAAAAAAAATATATAAAAACTTAGCTGGGCATGGTGTCACACACCTGTAATCCCAGCTACTCCGGAGGCTGAGGCAGGAGAATTGCATGAACCCGGGAGGCAGAGGTTGCAGTGAGTCAAGATTGTGCCACTGCACTCCAGCCTGAGCGACAGAGTGAGACTCCGTCTAAATAAAAGAAAAAAAAGAAAACCAAGATCCTTTCTTCCACTGCAGATATAGGAAGATAAGCTGGCAAGAGAAGCCAAGGGGAGGATGAGACAGGTGGCAAGAGAGCCAGATGGTGTCTGGGGGACCAGGGTAGTTTCAAAGACAATGGCAATGCCAAGAGCACCCACCGTAAGAGGCAGAGAGCTTGCCCAAAGTCTTTGGACCACTGCTAGACCAGCAGCTGATGGCACGGAAGCCAAGCTGCAGAGGGGCAAGGAAGCTCCGGAGCCTAAGTTGAGGCAGACCTCGGGGCAGACCTCGCTGAAGGTAATGGTGTCTCTCTGGATTGTGGCTTATATTTACAAAACATTTTTGCATGTTCTGGTCAACGTTCTAATATGAAAAGGATAAGGCGAACAGAACCTCTATGACTTGCCCCGGGACTCCATTTTAAACATCAGCACCACATTTGCTACAGAGCCACTCACGGATGGGGAAATGTCGTCGTCATATTTTTTTAGCTGATTCATAAACTCCAGATGCTTCTTCTCCTCCTCCAGTTGAGCCACAGACTGCTCGCTCTTCTGCAGTTTCTGCTGCGTGTTGGCCAATTCATCCCGTAGCCACTGATTCTCCTGGCACAGACGACGAACCTGCGCACGCAGTTTCTGCTTCTCGGACTCCACAGCATTCAGGTGATTTGACAAAGCCATCATAACCTGAGCAGACAGAAACGTGTGCAGCACTGTGGCACATTGTCCAGCAAGTGTCCCTCCCACCTGTGCGAACATTCTGTGGCTGGGGCTGTAGCTTACACTCGCAGATGTTTTCTCCAAAGTACATATAAGTACCATCTGCCATTTATTTCTCTTTTCCCCTTCAGCCACAGACTACATAACAGGATACGAAAAAGAAAATCACATGCTCAGAATGCCTACAAAAAAACTATTTATTTTTTTGAAGAGCATGTCAAATGAACTAGCAATGAAAACACAGCTACCCTTCTGATGAAACTGTATTATTTTACTTTCTATCAAGATAGCCCCAACATAATTTTTATAGACCCTTTCCCATGTGTGAGGCCTTGTGTACACACATGCATGTCTGCGCACAGAGTGCAGGTTGGTGAAGGGCTGGAGGTGGAAGTCAGAGAACAGGGCACATACAAATCTTCCTCAATGTTCCAAGGTGAGAGAAGACATCTCTGTAGCTACCACCAAGAGTAAGAATGCACTGGTGCACTCATAAGCTTACGTTCATGTCATAAAATCCAGGGAACGCTCCAGGGCTCTGCCTACAGAGTGCTCACTAGTTTCTGGAACAGACCAGCATGAAGCCGTGGCAACTTCCTAGGAGCGTAAGAGCAGAAAGATCTAGGAGGAGCTGACTGGCTGCAATCCATTCTCTCTTTAGAACATATATCTGCCCTCCTCTCTCACACATAATAACCAGGTTATTATCCTCCTAGGTTTAAAACCTGAAACTCCAGAAGGTGGGACTTTTTCTTCCTTCTTTTTGTAAAACTCTTATCTGCGACACCAAAAAAGCAAGTTTAAATTCATGTCACCCGTTCTCAAGATAACAGAACCTGAGAAATAATAGGTTCACAATATCCAAACAAAGCTACAGTTCTGCAACTCAAGTCTGTCACATGGTTAGGATGAAGACTCTAAAATCAGGGTGTAGGCGTTCACTTCCCCTGTGAAAGCAGAAACCACTGGCCAGCAGCCCCTCTTCTGCTCTATTCACTCACGCAACTAGAGAAAGCTAAGAAGTCAAGCTGGCCAGGCGCGGTGGCTCAAGCCTGTAATCCCAGCACTTTGGGAGGCCGAGACGGGCGGATCACGAGGTCAGCAGATCGAGACCATCCTGGTTAACATGGTGAAACCCCGTCTCTACTAAAAAATATAAAAAACTAGCCGGGCGAGGTGGCGGGCGCCTGTAGTCCCAGCTACTCGGGAGGCTGAGGCAGGAGAATGGCGTAAACCCGGGAGGCGGAGCTTGCAGTGAGCTGAGATCCGGCCACTGCACTCCAGCCTGGGCGACAGAGCGAGACTCCGTCTCAAAAAAAAAAAAAAAAAAAAAAAGAAGTCAAGCTTTAGTATATTTAATTTTACCTAAGATATGCTGGCAGAGCCAGAAGTTATCAAGAGAGAGAATTTAAAAACCTAGATGTTTCCAGTGTTTTCATCTCTATGTCAAGCATGATATTATAGAAACAAAGGTTAGTCAAAGATATGATGCAATCTGGTCCTGGGATTGCAGAGACCATCACCTACTGGCCAGTGTCCATTCTCCTTTCCTTCCTTAGGCCTGAGAACCTGCCACTGTAAGTGGGAAGACAACATTCCCCAGTCTCCCACTCACCCAGGTACAGCCCTGAGGTCTGGCCTATGAAATGTAAGCACTGCTGTACACAACATCAAAAAAGCAGCCTTCAAGGAAGGAGGCACATCCTTCCTTTCCCTTCCCCTATGCTAGAACAGGGCCACATGGCTGCCACTGGAGCTCACTCTCAGTCCCCAACACAGGCTGCCAAGGTGTAGCGTGGCAGATGTTAGCAGCCTGAGTGCCCCCGATGACTGTGCAGCTACAGAACCCGTCCAGGATAGTGTACCTCAGTACTTGTTTGACAAACATCTTGTGGTTTAAGCCACTGTTTTTGTTTTTTTGATACTGGCAGCCAAATCAAATCCTAAATGATACACAGCAGTATCCACTATTTTGGCTCTGCTTTTTAAAATTTGGAGAGGTCCTGAGGTCAGGAGTTCAAGACAAGCCTGGCCAACATGGTGAAACCTCGTTTCTACTAAAAAAACAAAAAATTAGCCAGGAATGGTGGTACGTGCCTATAATCCCAGCTACTTGAGAGGCTAAGGCAGGATAATCACTTGAACCCAGCGGGTGGAGGCTGCAGTGAGCTGAGATTGCGCCATTGCATTCCAGCCTGGGCAACAAGAGCAAACACCGTCTCAAAAAAATAAAAAATAAAAATAAGTCAGAGTCCGGGCATGGACTTTGGTGAGGCAGGCACATCACGTGAGGTTGGGAGTTTAAGACCAGCCTAACCAACATGGAGAAACCCTGTCTCTACTAAAAATACAAATTAGCCAGGTGTGGTGGTGCATAATCCCAGCTACTTGGGAGGCTGAGGCAGGAGAATCACTTGAGCCCGGGAGGCAGAGGTTGCAGTGAGCCGAGATCGCACCAGCGTGGGCAGCAAGAGCAAAACTCCATCTCAATCAATCAATCAATCAATAAAATTCTTATGGGCCCAAATCAATAGTAATTAATTAACATACAGAACACACATGTAAGTGGATCTGGTTTTGTTTTGTTTTTTTTTCTTTGAGATAAAGTCTTGCTCTGTCACCCAGGCTGGAGTGCAGTGGCGCAATTTTGGCTCCCTGCAACCTCTGCCTCCCAGGTTCAAGTGATTCTTCTGCCTCAAGCCTGCCTAGTAGCCGGGATTACACACGCCAGCCACCAGGCCTGGCTAATTTTTGTATTTTTAGTAGAGTCAGCGTTTCACCATGTTGGCTAGGCTGGTCTCAAATTCCTGACCTCAAGTGATCCATCTGCCTCAACCTCCCAAAGCGCTTGGATTACAGGCATGAGCCACCGCACTCGGCCTGGATCTGTTATTTTATAACCATCTTTCCTCTTCAGTGAAACTGCTTATTTCAAACAAAGTCCCCATTTTACCAAACCATCACAAGTTCTTGATGATGTCTGAGTTATTCTCGCTCATACCTGTGCCTCACTCAGGCCAAGCTCCAACATCTCCAGTGACTTCCGGATCATGTTTGATTTCTCCTCCACCAGGTTACTTTCATCATCTTTCTTCAAACACTTCAGTGTCTCCAGCAAACTTTGTAAAATGGAATTGTGCTCATTCTTCAAAGCTTCCAGCCCCTGAATTACTTGCTTTGTTTTAGAAATAATTTCATCCTGTGTAAGCTTCTCCAACTTGTCTTCCTTTATGTACACCATTGTGGACATGTTGTCATACATTCTGGAATGAAAAAAGAAAAAGAAATTAGACCCCTCATTACAAGTTTCATTTCTGTTACATCAAGCAAACATGAAAATTTTTTAATTAACATTTTATAGAGGAATAATAAATATGCACATTTGTAATTTATGATCTTGAAGTACCACATTCTGCACTGTTTCTGTTTTTCCTTTGCAGACACATTTAATTACTTTTCTGGTTTACGTTTCAATTTTTTTTTATGACAGCAACTGAAATTAACGCCAAAGATTAAAAGCAGCAAAACATCTAAATGGCATTTCCAAAACACATAGCCTCAGTGAACAACATTTTTTCTCAAAATGTTTGCAAACCTTTTTCTCTTCCTAATGAAATGCAGAAAGAACACTTCTTGGTAACATGTTTAACTGGACAAAGGCTTGAAAAGGAGTCACGCAGCTGGAAGAAGAAAGAAAAACCAGCCAAAGAACATGGAACAGGAAGAGCAGCAGGGGAGAAGCAGACCTGGAAGACACAGGGCACCAAGGACAGCAGCAGGATGGTCACCGGGCAGGCTCACAGATGAGGAGGGCACAGTGAAGCACCACTGGGGCCAGGCCCGGGGTGACGTGATGCAGTGTCTGGAATGGGCTTTCAAACACCCAAGTGAGAAAGAAAAGGGGGAGGAAAGGGGCATACAAAACAGCATCACTTGTGCTGGTGTGCCTGACAGCCACTGGCACTGAGCAATGGATTCCTCTGCTAGCCTCTCTCCTTTTTACTAAGTCTTAAAACTACATAGTTAAGTTTAAAAAACAGAAAGATAATGAGCAATGATCTTTTCGGCAGAGTGACAGGGATGGAGGCGAGATTACACGTCAGAGTTATTTCCTTCATAACACTGCCACTGTCTGAAACTCACATTTCATGAAGTGTCTAATATCACTTTGAATATAAGCTCTTATTTAAAAAAAGGCAGGACAGCCGGGCATCGTGGCTCATTCCTGTAATCCCAGCACTTTGGGAGGCCAAGGCAGGTGGATCACTTGATGCCAGGAGTTCAAAACCAGCCTGGCCAACATGGCAAAACCCTGTCTCTACTCAAAATACAAAAATTAGCTGGGTGTGGTGGCACGCACCCGTGGTCCCAGCTACTCAGGGGGCTGAGGCACGAGAATCACTTGAGCCCGGAAGGCAGAGGTTGCAATAAGCCAATATCGCACCACTGCACTCCAGCCTGGGCAACAGAGCAAGACTCTGCCTAAATAAATAAATAAATAAAAATAAACAAAATACAATTAGCTGGGTGTGGTGGTATGTGCATGTATTCCTTGCTACCCAGGAGGGTGAGGTGCAAGGATCACTTGAGCCCAGGGGTGTGAGGTGACTGTCAGCTATGATGGTACCACTGCACTCCAGTCTGAGTGATGGAGCAAGACCCTGTCTCTTAAAAAAATTCAAAAAAAAAAAAAAAGGCTCCACAGCATCTAGGCGCAGCTCCTGCCAGCCCATGTGATGAATGGATGGACTGACAGACACTGGATGAAAGGAAGAAAGGCTGAAGCAGCAGACAGACTACATATTCCAGGATTTGGGGTGAAGCTATGAGTGCTTGAGAATAGGGTCACGTTAGTCTCTGCATCACCAATTTCACACTGGAAAAATCTTTTTTCTTTTTCATAAATATGAAGACTAAATTCCTTTTAAAATTTGGAAGTTGTCTGTAGGACTATTCAGAAATCCACTTCCACTCCACTAACAAAGAGCCCAGAAAACAACAAAAGAACAAATGCCGGCCAGGCACAGTGGCTCACGCCTGTAATCCCAGCACTTTGGGAGGCCGAGGCGGGCAGATCACGAGGTCAAGAGTTCAAGACCAGCCTGGCCAATATGGTGAAACCCCCGTCTCTACTAACAATACAAAAATTAGCCGGGCCTGGTGGTGCTCGCCTGGAGTCCCAGCTACTCAGGAGGCTGAGGCAAGAGAATCGCTTGAAACCAGGAGGCAGGGGTTGCAGTGAGCCAAGATTTCACCACTGCACTCCAGCCTGGGCAACAAAGGAAGATTTTGTCCAAAAAAAAAAAAAAAAAAAAAAGAACAAAGGCCACTCCTCTACCTGACAGTATGTTAACTGCTAGTATTTATTTAACACATAGCTCTCCAGCTTCACTGTAGCAAATCCATGCTGTGTGCCAGGCTGGGAATGTACTGCTGAATAATACTGCTGTGCTCCGTGAGGGACCTTGTCCATACTGTTCCATGATACATCCCCAGCCTGGCACTCAATACACATTCGTAAAATGAGTGAAAGAAAACACTTAAGGACCAGTTTTCAACAAACAAGATTAAAATGTACTAGGTTAACATGTTGATCTGAACATCTCTGAGGTTCCTATGAGTGAAGGGAAGGGCCTTCAGAAGGAGGAAAATAAAACTTAAGGCCTGTTTTTCCTCCCTGACAGCAAAGTATTTATGTATTATATCCAAATGATGCAACATATATTCTTTTATGTTTCCAAAACTAGCAGATGCAAGTGTTTTTCTAAAACTTACTCTGAGTTAAGTAAGCCCTGGAATGTACAGATCAATAAGGGCCTCACTCTCGGGGACATGCAAGCTAGTAGAAGACAACCTACACAAGCAGGTGCACAAAGACCTGAAGGCCCAGGGACAGTGGTTGTGCGGTAGAACACAGTGATGGGGGGCAGTGAGAGACGAAGGCCAGACAGAAGAAACCATTCCCAAGGGATGTTATCAAGTAGCACCTCTCAAGGCTAGTAAGGGCACTGCCAGCCCAGGGCAAAAGGCGAGCTGAGGCAGAGGTGTGACGGCACCCACTGCTGGCGAGCAGCTGCTCATCACTGCAGAGCCAGACCCAGTACCAGGGCTAGAGGAGCAGTGCAGAGTGACAGCACAAGAAACCTGCCCCCCAAGTGACCATGATATAGATATTAAGTACATACGACACTTCTTCAGAGGGAAACAGACAGTGGCATATATATTCAGACTCGATGCCTCTTGCCATTTCTAGGCTAAGCCATTATAACCAAAGGCAGCTTATATTAATAAACAGTGCCAAGGCAACTGGCTATTTAGGAAAAATAAAGTTAAACTCCTATACTCACTATATACTAACATAAATTTCAAATTAATAATTAAATTTAAAAAAAGAAACTAGAAGGAAATACAAAGGCCTATATGCACGTAGGTCAAACTAAAGAGCATTCTATGAATAAAAGTAATGGCAAGCTGGGCACAGTAGCTCACGCCTGTAATCCCAGCACTTTGGGAGGCCGAGGCGGGCAGATCACAAGGTCAGGAGATCGAGACCATCCTGGCTAACACGGTGCAACCTCGTCTCTACTAAAAATACTAAAAACTAGCCGGGTGTGGTGGTGGCTGCCAGTAGTCCCAGCTAATTGGGAGGCTGAGGCAGGAGAATGGCGTGAACCTGAGAGGCAGAGACTGCAGTGAGCCAAGGTCGATCCACTGCACTCCAGCCTGTGCGACAGAGCAAGACTCCGTCTCAAAAAAAA